CGGTCAAAATCGTTGCTGTCTCCATCCTACTGCTCATCTACAGTTGACAGGGCCACAAATCGAGAAGAAGAAAATCCTATGTCGGAGCTACTTTTCTCCCTCTGTCATGAAAGACTGACCGACGAAGTTACCGAGGCGGACATGCGGAGTTATCGAGAATGACAGGCTGGAAGCGCCTCAACTGCGAAGCCAAAATAGCCGCATAACCACGGCTGGCGAAAAAGGAAGGAACGACTGCAAATCCGAAGAGTTTCTCTAATTAGCAAAGTAAGTAGAGCTAAAGACATGAGGAAAAAGTTGAATACTAAGATGGAATAAAATAATAAAAAAGGAGAACTGCTCCCGTGCATCTCTATGGCGTCGGCGAAAGAAGATTAGAAGAGGGAGAAGAGCAGTGCGCCAACAAAGTAAGTACGCCTCCCATCGGGCCCAAGACCGCCTCCAGCCCATCGCCGTGTTTAGTGAATTCCAGTATGACATCCTACCGTCAGGCCCAAGACCGCCCTCCAGCAGTTAATTCCAGTATGACATCCTACCATCAGGTCCAAGACTGCCCTCCAGCCCATCTTCACATTTAGTAAAGATGCATCATCCAGCCCATCTCTGTCTGATAGCCGCCTCCCATTAACATCCATCGCGGCCCGCAAAGTCTCGGCCCGCTTCTCATTTGGTCTCCCAAGGCAGTCCCACCTCCAATTTGTCAACATGGCCACCTCCATTCAGCCCGTCAGGCCCAAGACCGCCCTCCAGCAGTTAATTCCAGTATGACAGCCTACCATCAGGTCCAATACTGCCCTCCAGCCCATCTCCACATTTAGTAAAGACGCATCATCCAGCCCATCTCTGTCTGATCGCCACCTCCCATTAACATCCATCGTGGCCCGCAAAGTCTCGGCCCGCTTCGCATTTGGTCTCCCAAGGCGGTCCCGCCTCCAATATGTCAACATGGGGCGCCTCCATTCAGCCCGCCACGCATCGGACGTGCCCGCCTCGCTGTCAAAGCCCTCTGCACCTCCTTCAATTGTGCAACGCGGGCCCGTCTCCAACTCACGGCCCGCACCTCGTCATTGAAGCCCCAAGTGAGCCGCCTCCCATTGAGAACAGCCATCGAATACCCGCCTTCTACGGACCGCGAGCTTCAAACTACTCCTCAAAGACCGGCCCAATTCAGCTCTAACCGCACAACACAGGCCCACCATGAATCTCACGAGCCCGCTCCACCTCCTCCTTCAATTGTGCAACACGGGCCCGTCCCCAACTAGCGGCCCGCATCTTGTCATTGAAGCCCAAGTTAGCCGCCTCGCATTGAGAGCAGGTCATCAAAGTCCGCTCCAACATCAACAACTTGGCAGCTTCAGACAGCCCAATCAGGACTCTACTTAAAAAGGAAAGAAAGACGCCTCCACTTACCTTCGAACCGCCGACCTTGTATTCATTGGCAGACGCGCCAACAAGTACGCTACAAGCACACATTGTTGATCAACAATGCAGCAGCCAATACTTAATTGTTCTGGGTTCTCCAACATCTTTCAAGCTAAGTCAATTTCACAGAGATATATCTTATGCAAAGCGTTTCATTATTATTATGCTAGGCGCTCTTTATGCTATATTTATACTTTAAATATATTGAGCCCTAGCCACTTGCATCTTTCTCGGATACTCGAAGACTCAAGCCTCTTGCCACCGGGCTAGGCTCGCAGATTCCCGCCTCCGAGCGATGCTCTCTCTGGAGAATGCTTACCGCCTCCGAGCGATGCACCCTTTGGGGATTGATTCATGCCCTCCGCCTGCGGGCAAGGCAAAAAAACCTCCTCCGAGGGATTTTTACTTTGAGGATTGATTCATGCCTTCCTCCTCCGGGCAAGGCTGAAAAAAACCCAGCTCCGAGCAATGCACCCTTAGGGGATTGATTCATGTCTTCCTCCTCCGAGCAAGGCTCGTACACCGCTTTTGAGCGAAGCTCCCCCCGAGGAATGCTTCCCGCCTCCGAGCGATGCTCCCTCTAGGGAACGCTTCCCAGGAAGTGAAGGAGTGATGCACTTCCCAAGAAGCCGAGGGAGCAATGCGCTTCCCTGGAAGCGAAGGAGCAAAGCGCTTCTCAGAAAGTCGAAAGACCAAGGCGCTTCCCCAAAAGCCGAAGACTTAAGCGCTTCTCAGGAAGCGGAGGAGCAATAAGCTTCCTAGGAACCCGAAGGACCAATGTGCTTCCCTGAAAGCCGAAGGACGAAAGAGCTTCCCAGGAAGCGAATGAGCAAGGCGCTTCCCAAGAAGCGGAGGAGCAATGCGCTTCCCAAGAAGCCGAAGGACTAATGCGCTTCACAGGATGCCATTGGAGCAATGTGCTTCCCAAGAAGCAAAGGAGCAATGCGCTTCCCAAGAAGCAAAGGAGCAAGGTGCTTCCCAGGAAGCCGAAGGATCAATGTACTTCCCAGGAAGCCGAAGCACTAATGCACTTCTCAGGAAGCCGAAGGAGCAATGCGCTTCCTTGGAAGCCGAAGGAGCAATCGCTTTCCTGAAAGCCGAAGGACGAAAGAGCTTCCCAGGAAGTGAAGGAGCAAGGCGCTTCCCAAGAAGAAAAGGAGCAATGGGCTTCCCAAGAAGCGGAGGAGCAATGCGCTTCCCAGGAAGCCGAAGGACTAATGCGCTTCCCAGGAAGCCAAAGGAGCAATGCGCTTCCCAAGAAGCGAAGGAGCAATGCGCTTCCCAGGAAGCCGAAGGAGCAATGCACTTTCTAGGAAGCGAAGGAGCAATGTGCTTCCCAGAAAGCCAAGGACTAGGGCGCTTTCCAGAAATCCAAAGACTAAATCCTTCTCAGAACCGGAGGACTAGGGCGCTTCTTAGAAAGCCGAAATACTAAGCTTCCAAGAAAGCTGAAAATCTAATACGCTTCTCGGAAAGCCAAAATACTAAGCTTCCCGGAAAGCTGAAAGACTAGTGCGCTTCTCAGAAAGCCAAAATACTTAAGCGCTTTCTACAAAGCCGAAATACTAAAGTACTTCCAATGAAGCAGAAAGACTAACAACGCTCCTCTGAAAGAAAAAAGGATCAAAATTCTCAGGAAGCTAAAAGGAAGAACGCCTCCCAAAGGCGTGGAAGATAGAATGCTTTCGGTAGGCAAAAAGAAAAAAATAGCAGACTAGAAGATGAAACGCCTCCTAGTAGGGGCCAACATCAACAAGTAGAGAATAGTTGATCCCCCCTGACAAAAGTAAGACATTGACAAGACACATGACCTCCTGACACACATGGACGCGACATTGGTGAAACATAAAACAAGAGCGTCTTGAGTTAAAACTCTCAAGCCGTGGGGGCCACCCTACCTAGGTCACAATTATGGTCTGCTAGCGCTAACAACAATGGAATAGAGAAGGAAATCTTAACGACTTGAGAGCTTTGGTTCAAGATATCGAAAGCTAAGAAAGGGGCAAAGGAAAATGATCACGCAACTCGCACAAGGGGCAAACCGCATCATCCGGATTCACAAGTAAGGCAAATTAATACACGATTAACGCATTATATATGTTACTCCTTCTATTCTTACACAAAACAAGAAGCAAAGGGGCAATTGTTGGGATATGGATTAATATGCCTAACACGACTATAAACGGGCCCAATCCCACCGCAAGGCGTCCTGGGCCCAAGCTCACTCAAGGAAGCCCAAACCGTATATAAGGAGGCCTAACCATCCAAACTAAATCCTCTCCTCCACTTCCCACACTCTTACCCTAAGGTCTCAATCTAAACTCTCTCTCTCTATATATACCATAAACCGCATACTATATCGTACTAACTTGGGCGTCGGAGCGTAGATCCCGGGGGCCACCCCCCCCCCCCCCCCCCCGCCTCACAGGTTCTTCCCTTCTCGAGGAGATCAGACGAAGGAGTCCATATCGGAGCCTCACAACCGCCTAGTACATTCTAGGCTCAAACACCAAGCCACTGTTGGATCTTCCATAGTTTAATCAACAGTAAATCAACCAAAAGGAGCTAGGGGGACTCATTCCCGAGTGACTCTTTTCTTGCTTAAGAACTTCGACAATTTCCTGCTTTCTTACTGCTTTTCTTTACAATCACTCTCACTACACTTAGTCCCGCTAGATAATAGATAATCACTAATTAGGCAGTGTATCTAGACACCGGGTTGATAAAGTAAACTTACCACTATTTTGCATTTTCATTTTGTGATTACACTTGGCCGCAGTTTGGTGTTGTGTCGTAGCGTTTCATCATGACCGTCACGTGTGGTGAACCAGTGCCTCTTCTCTCCTTCTTGCTCCTATGCTTTTCGATCATGCTCGAATGAACTCCAATCGATTCCCAATCAATTTGGAATGCATATAAGACCTGGAATTTCGTCACAAACACTTGGGAAAGCATAAAATACGACAAAGTGGGTTCGATTCCCCTATGAAAACCTTCATATCATGAATACGTATGCCAAACTGCATGTTTTGCAAATAGGAACGAATATGGGCATAAATAACTCGATATTTGGCCTAGACATGGTAAATTAGCATGCAAATGCCATGAGAATAGAGGCTAGATAACACCTATTTTTGGTGTTATCCGTGCTCCTCCTACTGCGGTAGACCCTGATGGATGTAGAAGCGAATCATTAGAGTTCAGTGTGAGCCATCCCGTTGGGGTCAGTCTCCACCTAACAACCATGTCTCGACACAACCTCGACATCCCTAGTGATATAGTGTGGTCTAATGCTTTGCTTTGTCGCGCAATGACCTACCAGACTAGGATCTTTTGCTTCAGCTCGTTAGGGTTTCCTTGATTCGTGAAAAAATGGAATCATTGCGCGAACGCCTGAGGAACCAAAAAACAAATCCAAATCGAATACGATTATCATGGTCATCGAGAAAGGACATGAACCATTCTTTGAAAGGCCTCGAGTCATTTGCTGATTCGGGAAGAGTGGCCTGATGTACATGAGTAGCATGCATGCACGTCTGGAATACATGCTCAGCTGATTCCGGGGCTACCTTGTAGTGTCATATCTTCTTCCATCCTGTAAGAAAATGGCGGATTCGATGCGGCCAGGGCCACTGTCCAATCTTCTTCCATCCTGTGTGACCGCCGTCTTCATCGATCTCAACCACCATTTGGTAAGCAGACTTCAGGGTGAAGTGTCCCTTAGCCGCAAGTCCCCAGATCAGCTCATCCTTTCTCAAGTTTGGATTTGGAGGCGGCATTCCTAGCACCTGTAATAGAAAAGGGACGAGGTAAGTATTGGGCAATACGAGCAACATCCACTCACCCGCTGAAGTTGTCATTTATGCTACTGTAGCAGAGGATGCGAAGCCCTCCAAATCCTTCCTGACATCCTCTCTGTTAGTAGTTATGGGTAGTCAATTGTAATTTGGCAAATTAATCCTTTTGTTAGTAGATTTGGCTAATCCGTTTGGGCTTAGAGATAGGGTTGCTCGGCAAGTATATAAATGTTGTTAGCCGACATATGTAACCTAAGGATTCTCGGTCGAATACAATTGACTCTGAGAGGTTGCTCCTCTCCATGGATTTGTCTCAACAATACGTTGAGGATACCACATAAATCTCGGTGTTCTTGTTATTTTTTGTTTCTCGTTATTATGTTCAACATGGTATCAAAGCCTCAAGCTTGATCGTGCTACGTTTCTGTTCGGCGGCGACGCTAGGGTTTGCTTCGTTGTTGCATTTTTTAGCTTCTTCTTCTGGATCTCTGGGTTTGTTCTCGCTACCAGCTGGTTGTTTGCTCTCTGACTCCTTTTCTCGGCTTGTTCTCGTTGCACTGGAGGCTTCGAAGGTTGATACTATTGATGTTCGCTTTAATGGCAACATTTTTTCCCTTTGGGAGATGCAACTGCATCTTTTTGTTCAAGGGCGCCGACTTTCTGGTTTTCTTTATGGATCATCGGCCAAACCTGCTGTCGATGCTCCGGCCAAGAACAGAGAGGATTGGGAGGTCCATAATGCTCAAGTTATGGTTTGGATTTTGTCTTCGTGTGAACCCTCAATCGCTCTTAGTTTACGTGGCTTTACCTCTGCATCCGCCATGTGGACTCACCTTGTTGATTCCATTCATAGCCCAGTCCTTCTCGCAAATATGAGGTGGAGCTCGACCTGGCGCGTCTCCATCAGGGCGACATGGATGTTCGGACGTACTATCAAGCTGCGGTGAACTTGTGGATAGAGCTTGATCAGCTGACCACGTCTCTCCTCTCGGCTGAGGCATCTGCGGAAGTTTTACGGGATCGTTCTAGCTCCCGTGTGATGCAGTTTGTAATGAAGCTGCGCGACAATTTTGAGGGGATTAGGGCATCCTTGCTTCATCGTAACGTCACAAAAATTGAGGACGTCCTTGGGGAGCTTGTTTGCGAAGAGACTAGGCTTCACAGTCAAGCGAAGCTTGATGTACACCAATCGACCGATTCTGGGTCTGGCTTCTCAGTCTCCAAGGACACCTCGAGCAAATTTGCCCCCTCGGATCAGACCGCTTTTGCTGTAAGTTCGGACAAGCCTCATTTTCATCGCACTCCCTCTGGTGAATTGTTTGCTTCTTCTGCAAGTAACCGGGACACATTCAGAATCGATGTCCAAAGCGGAATGTTTGCAACTATTGCAAGGAGTCAGGTCATAAGATTGGTGATTGCCCAATCTTAGCTAAACGCGGAAGGTCTCGTGGTGCTGGTTCTTCTAGTTCGGGCGGCAGTTCCTCTCGTTCCACCACCACTGGCCAGGCCTATGCCACCACGACGGTCCCTGCTAGATCGCTCTCGTCCTCTTCGTCAGCTGGGGTCTCGGCGGATTTCATTCGCCAACTTGTTCAGGAGGCCATTAAAGAGGCCTTGCCTACCGCTCTTGGTTCTCGTTCGACATTTCGTTCTCTACGGCCACAGTCTTCTATTATGGTGCAAGTAGCAAATGATTCTTGTTTACCTGCTCAAGGAATTGGTGATATTGCTCAGAAACAGTTGTGTCTATCTGATACTTTATATGTGCCTCATCTCGTTCACAGTCTCGTGTCTGTTGGGCAGTTGGTTGATGAGGGCTGTCATTTGATTTTGATGTGGATGGTTGTGTCATACAGGACACGAGAACGGGGAAGGAGAAAGGCCGCGGGACTAAGGAGGTAGGGATGGCAATGGGTCGGGTCGGGGGTGGATAGTGCATATCCGTTACCCTACCCAATGTAGTTCGGGTTTTACCCATACCCGTACCCATACCAGATTCGGGTGGATATCCACGGTTACGGATATTTTTGCCATCCCTAAAGGAGGGTCGTGTATTCACCCTCGACAGCTACTCAGGGTCTTCGTCCCTGCGGATTCTGGTGGTGCTGTGAGTGCGAATGTAGGGAGGGCGAGTGATACATTTGGTTTTTCTGTTAAGTTGTCTAATTGGGATTTGTGGCATCATCGGCTAGGCCACCCGAATAATGCTCGTTTACATGAGATGTTTAAAAACAAGTTACTGTCGGGTAATTCGATTTCTGATTCTCGTGATTGTGTGCATTGCATCGAAGCTAAGTTGTCTCAGTAGTCATTTCCGTCCAGTTCTACGGATTATTCTGATCCTTTTGACTTGGTTCACTCTGATTTATGGGGCCCTTCTCCTGTCACTTCTCGTGTTGGTTTCGTTATTTAGCCCTATTTGTTGATCATGTCACGAGATTTACCTGGGTCTATTTTTTGCGCCACAAGTGAGACTTGCTTTCCTTAGCTAAGGAGTTTTTGCAAATGGTGAAAACTCAATTTGGGAGACAGGTTAAACTTTTTCGATCAGATCCAGGTGGTGAATTCATTTCTGGGCCACTACAGATTGTGTTCCGAGAGTTGGGTATTTTACCTCAACGGTCTTGTCCTGGGATTTCTCAACAGAACGGGCTAGTTGAACGAAAAAATCGGCATGTTTTGGAACTCACTCGAGCTCTCCTATTTCAGTCATGTGTTCCTACTAGTTATTGGGTCGAGACTGTTCACACGGTTGTCCATCTTATTAATCGCCAGATAACTCCGGTTCTTAATAATCGTAGTCCATATGAATTCTTGTTTGGGAAGAAGCCTGATTATCGGAGCCTACGAGTGTTTGGTTGTGTTTGCTGTGTTCTGTTACCCCGTCGTGAACGTCATAAGCTTGTTCCTAAAGCTGCGAAGTGTGTGTTTATTGGCTACAATGATAAACACAAGGGTTATGTTTTCTGTGATGTGGCTAATCGGCGCATTCGTATCTCATGCAACGTCGCTTTTCTTGAGCATATTTCGTACTATGGTTCGGCCGATCAGCCTTATCGTTCGGATCTCGAGTTCCTTTTCCCTTGCCGGATTTTCCTTCACTTGATGTGGCTGCTGGTGAGCTCCCTGATCCTCCTTCCCCTTCTCATGACACGTCCTCCATTGCCATGACTGGTCTGGTTCTTCTCCGAATTCACCAACGCAGCCCACCCCCCAGCTCTCGACCTCATCTCACTCCCCTACCATTCAGCAATCCTCTTCTTCTTCAGGTGACGCGTCTATGTCTCTACTTGTTCCCTCACCTACTCCCGAGGACCTTGCTCCTCCACCTCGTCGTTCCTAGCGTGCAACCAAGGGAGTTCCACCTCCTCACATGTCCGACTTCGTTGCATATGCTACCCCTCATATCCCTATTCCAGCTACGTTTAAACAGGCTTGTGGTCATCCAGAATGGGATAATGCTATGAATGTTGAAATTCATGCTCTCGAAGCTAATCATACATGGGATGTCGTGGATCGTCCTCTTACTACGGCTGTTATTAGTTCCCGGTGGGTCTATAATATCAAGTTTCATCCAGATGGTTCTCTTGAGCGATTTAAGGCCCGGGTTGTTGTCCAAGGTTTTCGGCAGGAGTACAAAATTGATTATGAAGAAACTTTTGCGCCAGTGGCCAAAATGCAGACTGTTCGTACCTTGTTTGTTGTTGCTGCCATGCGAGGGTGGCCATTAAAGCAGCTTGATGTGAAGAATGCGTTTCTTCATGGGGATCTTAAGGAAACTATTTATACGGAATGTCTTCCCGGTTACTTGTCTGGTGTCAAATCTAAGGTTTGTCTGCTTCGTGGTTCTCTCTATGGTCTTAAGCAGGCTCCGCGGGCTTGGTTTGAGAAATTTCATGATACGATCCTGTCAGCCAGTTTTGTTCAGAGTAATACTGATCCATCATTGTTTCTTCGCCGTACAGCTTCTGGGATTACGGTGTTGCTCATTTATGTTGATGATATGTTGGTGAGTGGTGACGATATTGCTATTTTCTTGGTCTTGAGGTTCGCCGGTCTTCTGCTGGTTTATTGGTCAGTCAACAGAAGTACATTATTGACTTGCTTTAAACTGCTCATATGGATAGTTGTGTCCCATGTGCTACTCCGATGTAGCAAAACTTGAAGTTACGACAGATAGATGGAGATTTGATTTTTGATGGTTCGTCTTATCGCAGTCTTGTTGGGAGTTTGATTTATCTCACTCATAGTAGACCAGATATTTCGTATGTTGTTCAGGCTGTTAGTCAATTCATGGCTGCTCCTCGTACTACCCACATGGTTGTTGTCAACCGAATACTTCAGTATCTTCGTGGTACTTCTGATGTAGGCTTGTTCTTTCCTTCATCTGGTGATGCGATTATTGAGGCTTATGCTGATGCTGATTATGCTGGTTGTCTTGATACCCGTCGTTCTACTTCTGGCTGGTGTATTCGAGTTGGCTCTTCTTTTATATCTTGGCGGTGCAAGAAACAGGAGCGTGTTTCAAAATCTTCTACTGAAGCTGAGTATCGTGCTATGTCTGAGGTCACTTCTGAGTTGGTCTGGCTTCAGCGCTTACTGTCTGAACTTGGTATGCCATGTGTTGTTCCTATGCGCTTGTATGCTGACAATACCAGTGCTATTCGAATTGCTCTGAACCCAGTTCCGCATGATCGCACGAAGCACATTGAAGTTCATGTTCACTATATTTGGCAACTGGTGTCTGAATGCGTGGGTGCGTTATCCTATATTACTTCTGAGGAACAAACTACTGACTTGCTCACCAAGGCAGTTGCGCCGTCTCGACACTGGTTCCTTTTGTTACGCAACATCAATTTGAGGGAGGGTGTTAGTAGTTATGGGTAGTCAATTGTAATTTGGCCAAATAATCCTTGTGTTAGTAGATTTGGTTAATCTGTTTGGGCTTAGAGATAGGGTTGCTCGGCAAGTATATATATGTTGTTAGCCGACATATGTAACCTAAGGATTCTCGGTGGAATACAATTGACTCTGAGAGGTTTCTCCTCTCCGTGGATTAGTTT